GACCGAGCCCCCAAGGCACCTCTTTTTTTTTTTAAGATTTTATTTATTTATTTGTGAGAGAGAGAGGGAGACTGAGCAAGAGCGCACAGGCAGACAGAATGGCAGAGGGAGAAGCAGGCTCCCTGCAGAGCACGGAGCCAGATGTGGGACTCGATCCCAGCATGCTGGGATCATGACCTGAGCCGAAGGCAGCCGCTTAACCAACTGAGCCACCCAGGCGTCCCTGCCCAGGCACCTCTTGATCGAACGTTTTTTAAAGCATGTCTGGTGCTTCATTATCGCAGATACAAAACAGTCCGTCCGTCCGTCGTTTCCGAGGAGGAGAGGCACTGTGTGATTCTCAAAGGGGTGTGTCCAGGATGGGGACAGTCGGGGCTGCTTTGAATAAAGCTGAACCAGTCATGTGGTTCTGGGGACTGTGGCTGTTTACAGCTCTGGGGTGGTGTCTGTTGTGAGTTCCAAGGATTTCGGAGCTGAGCAAGGACAGTGATATGACCGGGGAGGTGGAAGAAGGAACACCCGCGGGCTGTTTTTGGTCCACGCTGGGGCAGAGGTCACTGCCTGGAGGCAGCAGGCCCAGAAGCTTCAAGGGTGGGTCTCTGTGTCAGAGAGCTCCTAAGAGCAGCAGCCACTTGGGGTTTTTTAAGAGCTGCGAGTTTATCTTATCTGTGGCTCGCAGACGTGGGACACTGCTCTGGAGTCCTCAGAGCAGGCAGGCTGTGAATGGCTACAGTTTTCTGCCTACGTGGGCTATGTCTAAAACAAGTCCGTGTGTGAACCTTGGAATTAGGTGATGGCCGGCTTGGGGCCATCATTTTTACAGCAGGTGGACCTGTGACTCACAATGGCCCCGATCAGGGCAAACCAGAGTAAACAGCAGCGTTTGGCCCTCCGCTAGGCAGCTGATCCAAGGCGGCTCCCTAGAATCCTCTAGTTAGAGGCTGTAGCTAAGGGTTCTCTTCCCTCTGGTTTTGTTTGTTGAAGTCCAAAAGCATGCCCTTGGGGAAGGCACGTGGGAAGGGGTCTGTTCCCAGGCATCTTGGCTAGTGGCACGAGAACTCCAGGTGGCCTCTGGCGTTCTCACTGTATGTGTCTGTGTCCACATGGCCCCCCTTTCCTGAAGGATGACACGTCTGCGGCCGAAGAGATCTGTCCGCCTGGTTCTTGCCCGAATGACAGCCTTCCTGCATTTCGTCCCCAGCCTTTTCCCCTTTAGTTCAGGCTGGTGGCATTTCCACTGAGCTGATTTCCCAGATCCGCACATCACATGCCTAATCTCTCAGCAAAAAGGGGTGGCCAGCCACACCCTTGGGATTCTCTCCAGAGTTCTGGTTTCATTTGAGTGTTTTTTTCCTCCTCCTTCTTTGATTTATCTCTGTCCTCCCGCATTTGAAGTTCTTAAGTCTAGAGGACCATGGTTCAGGTGTCAGTGAGGCCAGGCTCGCTCTGAAAGGTGCTGGGGAAGCATCTGTTTCAGGCCTCTGTCCTAGCTTCTGGAAGGTCCTTGGCTTGTGGCCACCCCACTCTACTTACCACATGGCGTTATGGCACTGTCCCTGTGTGTGTCATCCATCTGGTTTCGGGAGTAAGAGAAAGAGAGCTCAGAAAAGCCCTTTTGAAGACCAATCCAAAAGGATCCTCCTAACAATTTAGTGAATGCCAGTCATTCCTCCTTCTGTTGGGTCTAAGCTGACTCAGAGTTGTTTTTCATCACCAGGAACTGAGAGTTGACAGCCCGGCTCCTGACTACCAGGGCGAGGAAGCTGAGAATGTCCAGGACCTGTGGGTGTTTGTTAGGCTGTGGCTTTGGATCTGAGCAGGGCAGCTGCTGAAAATGAGGCCAGAGAGGCAGGGAGGGCCTCAAACACCTTTGTCCTGAGAGTGCTTGGAGACCTGGGAGGACACCTCAGCTCTGGCTGCCTAAAGATCCCTCTGAGTCTGGGGATGGAAAGGGCAGGACTAGAGGCTGAGTGGTTCAGGGAAGAGAGAAAGAGGATCCCCAAAGTTGGGGCCTCAAAGTGTTTCTCATCTCCCCAGGCTCCCCTCGCCCGGCCTCGGATGAGCGCTCAGGAGCAGATGGAGAGAATACGCCGAAACCAGGAGTTTGGACGGCCTCTCCCTCGCCCAGCCTCCCCCCGGCTTCTCACTCTGGGAAGGACGCTGTCCCCTGCCAGACGCCAGCCTGACACAGAACCAAGGGTGAAGGGAACAGAGGGTGCAACGTGGGGCGGTGGGGTGGTAGTGGGTCCTCCGTGCCTAGTGCGAGCCTCAGTTTTCCCGTCTGTAAAATGGGCATTTCCCTCCCTCTTTTCCCAGAGCTGGGATTCGAGGTTCACCCCAATATGTCCCTGTGCTGCTGATGGCTCCCCTAGGGGGGTGCAGGTGGGGGAGGCAGAGACCTCTTCACATCACCAATGTTTTTCCTTCAGGACGGGGGTCACAGTTCAGGACTGTGGGTCCCACTTTTTTTTTTTTTTTTTTTTTGGTTACTATGTGTTATCAAAGGGGAAAGCAATGAGCAATGATTATATTCATCCTGTCGCAATGGGGAGAGCATTCCAGATCTGAAGACGAATGTCTCGGCCCATGGTTTCATCTGAGACTTTTCTAGGGAGTAATTAGACAAGTCATAGGTGGGGTGATTTTACAGCTGGGATTATTTTTGTAATCAGGAGACATCTCAGTTGAACACCGAATGTTTATCTCTGTGTCTAGTTAGTTTGAAGGGGACAAACAGTTCAGCTAATTCTTTATGAGCCCAAAATTGTGAATTTGGAGGACCCTTTCCTGGCCTTGTCGTAGGTAAATTAGGGGGTGGTCATCTGTCAGTCCTGTGGAGGTCATACAAAGGAAGAGAGGTTCTGTGGTAAGCCATTTCCCAGAAGGCAAAGGGATCTGTGTTGGGGGGTGGCGGGGGCAGATTTTCTTAATGCTTGCTGTTTTCCAGGAATGCATGTAAAGTTAAACGTTGTCTCTGAGGCAATTTCACTCCCTCTCGGAACCCCCCTCATTTCACCCTCAAAATGAGAACATGGGAACTTCCCGGTGAGGAGGAATTTTAATGCCCCAATTCCTTTGCAGCCAGTCCAGGGACTCTCAGGAGCCCCCAAATGGCTCAGAAGCTCTGGATCCTGGAGCAGGTAAAGAACCGAGAGGCAAGAAGGAGGAAATCAAGTTGCCAAAGGGAAAGCATTATTAAGCATTATTATTGCTGCCTTTTGAGTACTAAAGTACAGACTGCAAAACCTTTTAGAGATGCTTGACTTCCTGGGGCATCAGAAAGCTCACAGATCCGCATGAGAATTGCAGTTTCTCTGGGTCGGGATCAAACTCCTGCTCCCTGTGTCAGGAAAGCGGGTGAAATTTAGGGAGGACTAGACTACAAATCCCACGACCCACACAGGGTTTTTTTTTTTTTTTTTAAGATTTTATTTATTTATTTGTCAGAGAGAGAGAGGGAGAGAGAGCAAGCACAGGCAGACAGAATGGCAGGCAGAGGCAGAGGGAGAAGCAGGCTCCCTGATGAGCAAGGAGCCCGATGTGGGACTCGATCCCAGGACGCTGGGATCATGACCTGAGCCGAAGGCAGCTGCTTAACCAACTGAGCCACTCAGGCGTCCCCCCACACAGGTTTTTTGAGGGCCACGGCCTGTTTAAAGTCTTTTAGGGACACAGGCTAGGGACTACAATTCCCAGAAGGACACGCGTGGCACAGTGGAACTGGCTCCTTGTAGATGTCCCCCAAATCTTTTTTTTCCCTAGTCCCAGGAATACCACCCCTTATTTGCCGACAGCCGAAGGGCACCGGGAGAGAGTCCTCAGCCTCTCTCAAGCTCTGGCTACTGAGGCGTCGCAGTGGCACAGAATGATGACAGGTGAGGAGGGGTTCCTGGGTTTGGGGGAAGAGGGAGAGAGAGCCTGGAATCCTTGGTTCTGGTCAGGAGGGTTCTGAGAGCTGCTGGGATCCTATGTCAGGATGGGGAGAGCGCCCTAGAAGGTTTGGGAGTTCCAGATCCCAGGCAGGAGGGGACAACGGGTTTGGGACTCCTGAGTCTGGGGGTGGGGGTGGGGCCAGACTTGTGGTCTGAGAGAGGAAGGGACTGGGGGCTCGACTCCCGGGTCTGAGGGGAAAGGCCCTGGGGGTCCGGACTCCTGTGTCCCAAAGTTTGCCATTCTCACTACCCACTCGTGCCATCCAGGTGGAAACTTGGACTCCCGAGGAGAGCCTCTTCCCCCTGCGCCACCGCCTCCGTCAGACCCCAGCCCCCAGGTGACCTCGCCCCCCAGATCTCCAGTGGCTAATTCCGGCTCCGCGGGGTTGTCCGGCGGAGGTAGTGGGTGCGGCGCAGGCCCCGCCTCCTGGGAGCCCACGTGGGAATCCGGGACCGCCCCTCCCGCCCTGACACAAGAGGAGGGGGCGTGGCCTCTGCGAGTCACGCTGCTGCAGTCCAGCTTCTGACCCGCCGGCGCGCCGCAGCCAATCGGAGTGTGAGGGCGTGGCCCGGAGGTACCGCCCCGCGATCTGGAGCCACTCAGGGCGCCTGGAGGCGTGGCCTGGTCCCCTCGGTAGCCGGGAGAGGGAGACGTTTCTATGGCCAAAGTTTGATTTTTCCCAACACTTGTCCAAATTCGGATTAAAACTTTGAACTTTTAGTCAATAGCTTTCTCTCTGTCTGTTTGGGGTTGTGACGCGGGGTCTCTTCGGGGCAGAGCTGGAGTCGTGGACTCCTGCGTCCTGAGGGTCTGGAACCTGTAGGTCTGACATGGAGAGCTGGGGCCTCGATTCCTGGGTCTGAGGGAGGAGGGGGCTGGACGCCGTAAATCCTGACTTTGAGGAAGGAGGGGATGGGTGGGGAGGAGCCGGACTCCTGGGTCTGAGGGCGGAGGGGGCCGGCGGCAAGCTGCCAGGCTCGGGGCCTTCCTGGCAACGCCCTCCCAGGGCCGGGCTTCGCGGACCAGCCCCTATTTAATGGTTCTGCTCCACGGCCTCACCCGACTTTGGAGGTGGGAAGAAGCACAGAAGAGCGACAGGAAAGACAGACCGAAGCAGAATGGCAACGGGAACGCGTTATGCCGGGAAGGTGGTGGTTGTGACAGGGGGCGGGCGCGGCATCGGAGCCGGGATCGTGAGAGCCTTCGGTGCGTAGGGGTCTGGCTGCTCAGGAACAGTGGAGCCTAGCAGACGAGGGACCCTGGGAACTAGTGGGCGTGGGATCTTCAGTACTGGAGCCACGGTTCTTATTAAAACCCAATTTACGATGCTAATGAAGGGGTAGGCAGTATAAGCCTGGGGCCTGAGCTTTGGCGGGTCTCCAAAAATGGTTATTCCCTTTCTCTGGGTCTCAGTTATTATACCTACAAAGTGGGTGGTTGGGGAATGGCGTTTGCGGGTTTGGGGTTTATTCTGGAACCAGGGATGGGGGGCTCAGGAACCCCAGCATGCACCTGGAGTGGCCAGGGAGAATATGTGTCAACTTTTCTGCCCTTTGCTCTAGAAGATCATCATGAGACTTTGGGGTCACGAGGGGAACGTTCGGGAAGATGGGCCCCCACTCCAGGTGGCCACAAGAGGGCAGCAGAGGCCTTTGCCAGAGTCTGTGCAGGGGGTGCTAACCTTTTCTTCCATTCTCAGTGCAAAGCGGGGCCCAAGTAGTTATCTGTGACAAAGATGGTGAGTGTCCCTCAGTCCTCACCCCCAACCCCCTCCTCCCTCAGACCCAGGAGTCCAGACCCCTAGCCCCTCTTTCCTCAGACCCAAGAGGCCTGGCCCTTAACCCCTCTCCTCCCTCAGACCCGGGAGTCCATACCCCCACCCCCGTCCTCCCTCAGACCCAGGAATCCCAGCCCCCAGCCCCCTCCTCCCTCAGACCCAGGCGTCCAGGCCTTCAGCCCTTTCCTGCCTGCAGAGTCAGGGGGCCGGGCCCTGGAGCAGGAGCTTGCTGGAACTGTCTTTCTCCTCTGTGATGTGACTCGGGAGGAAGATGTGAGGGTGAGCTATTTTCATCCCTGTTTCGTCCCAAAGGTTTAGGCTCAGCCTCATTTCCAAGGTTTCCCTGCTGGCCAGGTTCTGGCTCTCCTGGGAAAGTTCTTTATCTCTCCCTACTTCAGGGCTCTTGTCACGCCTGTCACAGTCTGCAACAAAAAAACTCCTCACAGTGGACCTCCTTCCGGAAGAGTTTTCCTCTCCTGCCTCTGGGTGTCTAACCCTTCCCTTCAGTCAATGTCTGATGTGCGCCCTCCGTCCCCCACCCCGACCCCGCTGAGCTCTCTGCTGTGTGAATATAACCAGCCCTCTGGTCTCTGGCAACCCTGGCTTCCTGTCTCCTCTTCTCCTGCCATGCTTGGTGATTTGGGGGAGTCCCCTCTCAGCTGTGATCCAGCTTCCCCCTCCCCACCTTGCTTTTGGGAGTCCAGGCTGGGTGCCTGGCACTGCTCACTTACAAGACATCTTTGTCCCCAGACACTCATTTCTGAGACCGTCCGCCGTTTTGGCCGCTTGGATTGTGTGGTCAACAATGCTGGCTACCGTGAGTTGTGAGGCCCACAGGCCATTCTCCACTGCTGTCAACCCGGCTTCCCATCCCTTCCTCCCCCCATCTCAGTTTCCCCTTCGTCTTCCCCATCCCTTTCTCTGTCCCTTTGGATGGGACAGTACAGCTTTGGGATTCCCCAGCTCCTGGGCTTACGTCCTGGCTCTGTTCCTTCCCTGCCGGTTGCCTCCAGACCCGTGCCCTCTCCTCTCCATGCTTCAGTTCCTGTATTTCTAGAATGGGAGTGATGGTAACGATCATCATCATTGCAGAGTTGTGAGCATTGAATAAGGTGAACTACTCAGGCTCGTAATTACCAGAACCATCTTGGGCAAACAGCTTCCAGAAATCTTGTGGTCTCAATTAGCTTATCCATGCAGTGACGTGGATGGCCCTTCTTGTTGCTGATGACTATGAAGTTATCCTTATGCATGAAAGTTTATGGGTCTTAGTGTGGTGACTTGGAAGGGAGAATGCCATCAGGTTAATGACTACCCTTCCTAAGAATCTCTCCTGCTGGTAAACCAGGGCTCAGAGAGATGAGTTCACACTGAGGTCACACAGCAAAGCGGTGATCAAAGAGATACCCTCTTCTATTACCCTCCCCCTGCTTATTGGCTGGGCAACTTTAAGCAAGTGGCTCAACCTCTCTGGGCTGCATTTTCCTCTTTAAATTGCTGTAGAGGTGAAAAAGATGGCGAATACTAGTTCATCCTTTCTCTCTGTGTACATTCAAGAGATATTTACTGAGTGCTTACTATGTCCCAAGTACTTTCCTGGGGATGGGGGAGTAGGCAGTGAACGAAACAGACAAAAACATTCTTGCTTTCTTGGGATTCACACACTCGAGGAAGGAAATAGACAAGAAAGGATACAGTTAAGTTTCCCCATTTGTGGTTTCCGTATTCGTGAAATCACCAACTCACACACACAATTTTTTTTTTGTAACCCCAGCCTCAGTCCTCACTGCCTCTGAAGGATTTGCAGATTTGCATGGGGAGTGGTGAGAAAAGTCCTAGTGGCCCGAGCACCTGTTCCCAGACCAGGCCTACCCCTGCCTGCTAGTTTCAGGGGATGGAACTGCCCTGGGGCCATCTGGATGATTTAACATCCCAACTCTGGCAGCCTCCAGCTAATGGCTTAACACCTCTGATCCTTGTTTCCTTGTTTGCAAAATAAATAGAGTGTCCTGGTAGGAGTTGTTTTGAGGATTTAAGGCTCTAATCTGATTTGCAAATATCTATTAAGTTTATGTATATACGGTGTCTACTACAAACATATATATAGTGTCTTAGGGGTTCTAGAACAGAAGTGCCACAGATGGGGAGGGCTTAAACAACAAAGGTCGATCTCTCACAGCTTTGGAGGAGAGGTCAGCAGATTCGTGTCTGGGGAGGGCCTGCTTCTTGCTGTATCCTCACAGAGTGGAAAGGACAAGGGGATCTCTGGGGTTTCTTTTCTAAGGGGGTCCATCCTCAGGACTTGAAAATCCCCCCGTAGACCTCCCCTCCAAATGCCATCACATCGAAGGTTAGGATTTCAGTATATGAATCTGGGGGGCGCGGGGGACACGTTTGGTCCATAACATTTACATCTTATTACATAATAGGTCCTATTTCCCTTGGGAGCAGTGGATGAATGATCACTAATTCATTGTCATTGGAATTTTATAGAGCGTAATGCCTTGAATAACAGGATCGGCTGTATATACGAGTATGTCGGGGGTGATAAAGGCTATGAATAAAAATAAAGTCAGCCTGCCTGGCTGGCTCAGTCAGGGGAGGCTGCGACTCTCGAACTCAGGGTTGTGATTTCGAGCCCCACGTTGGGCGTAGAGCTTACTTAAAAAAAAAAAAAAAAAAGATTAGGGTCTAGAAAATGGCAGGGACTGTTTTCTTTTTTCTTTTTCTTTCTTTCTTTCTTTTTTTTTTTTTTTAAAGATTTTTATTTATTTATTTGACAGACAGAGATCACAAGTAGGCAGAGAGGCAGGCAGAGAGAGAGGGGGAAGCAGACTCCCTGCTGAGCAGAGAGCCTGATGCGGGGCTCGATCCCAGGACCCTGGGATCATGACCTGAGCCAAAGGCAGAGGCTTTAACCCACTGAGCCACCCAGGCGCCCAGGGGCTGTTTTCAACAGAGGTTCCAGGGCGGATTCTCTGAAGATGTTTGAACAGCTCCCCGAGGAAGCCAGGACACAAGCTCTGGGTCCCTGGAAAAGAACAATCCAAGATTCCCTCAACTTTCTGGCCGCCATCTTGTTCTCTTCCTCCCCTTGTCTTCTATCTTCCCAGCTCCTTTTCTTCTGAACATTGATTTTTCTGTCCCTCTAACCCTAACCCCTCCCCACAATTCCTCCTATTTATTTTATAAATACGTTATGGGACTAAGTGTCAGGCACACATACGGACTCATGAAAAGAAAATCCTTTCAAGATTTTATTTGTTTTTTATCTTTTTAATTTAAATTCAGTTAGCCAACATAGAGTATAAGATTTTATTTTTAAGTAATCTCTACATCCGACGTGGGGGCTTGAACTCATGACCCCAAGGTCAAGAGCCACTTGTTCCACCGACCTAGACAGCCAGGTGCGCTGACTTGGGAAATTTCCTTTTTTCTTTTTTTTTTTTTTAAAGTAGACTCCATGCCCAACATAGGGCTTGAACTCACAACTCTGAGATCAAGAGCTGAGATCAAGTGCTGTACCCATTGGGTCACTCAGTTGCCCCCAGATTTGGGAAACTTCTAAGCCTGAGAACAAAGTGTCATCCTCCTTCTGTAGATAGGGAGGCTGAGGCACAGAGAGGCAAAGTGACTTGCCCAGAGTCACACAGCCAGGAAGTGGCAGGGGCTCATATCGGAACCCAGGCCTTCTGGCCTGAGGCGGCTTTTTAATTCACTGTTATGCAACCTCCCTTCCTTTTCAGGATCCCTGACCCTCTTGTCTGTCCCCTGCCCTCCGCTGGTGCTCCCTCCTCGCCATATCCCTATTTCTTCCCTGTTCTCTGTGTCACTCCCTCATTCTCTCCACCTCTCTGTCCCCCACCCTCAGACCCACCTCCGCAGTGGCCCGAGGAGACCTCTGCCCAGGGCTTCAGGCAGCTGCTGGAGCTGAACCTGCTGGGGACGTACACCTTGACCAAGGTGAGGACCGCAGCCCTGGCTGCCAGGCCAGGGGGCCTCCTGATGATGAGATTCTCAGATGCATTTTTTCTCAGAGCAGTTTTCCTCTGCCTTGGTTTGACCTGACTCCAAAAGGACTCCATCCTTTGTAGCAAGTAGGTGCGGGCAAATCCCTACATCCAGCCAAAGCTTAACCGTGTGGCTACTTGGCCCAGTCCCCTTAGGAACCTTCCAGAACATTCCAGAGTGCTGTGCTGGTAGTGTTGGGGGATGTTAGGAACAGGGGCGAAGTGTTGAGGCAGGGAGTCCGTGATAGGCATTAACAGCTCTGCCACCCTGTGAAGAGCTCTGGGGAACGAAGAGCTTTTTTGCCTCCCCCATCTTGCCCTCTAAACCCCATAAAGGTCTCTTGCTTAAGGGCCTCTCCTTCCCAACCATCCTTGCTTCTGTAGCATCAGTGTGCATGCATGTGCATATCTGTTCTCTGTAACAGCCTGTTTATTTTCATCACAGCACATTTTAATTCATTCAACAATTATGCTAAGTACCCGCCGTGTGCACCCAGCAGAGGACAAACATCCTTGTTCCTGGGCAGCCGACAGGCTGGTAGTGGGGGACAGGCCGTGAGCAGGTAAATAGAATATAATGTCAGGGAGTGATAAATGCTGGCCGGAAGAGTGATGGGCAAGTGTAAAGACTCTTTTAGAAAACTTTTTTTTTAAAAGATTTTATTTATTTATTTGACAGAGAGAGAGAGTGATCACAAGTAGGCAGAGAGACAGGCAGAGGGGGAGGGGGAAGAAGGCTCCCTGCTGAACAGGGAGCCCGAGGTGGGACTCGATCCCAGGACCCTGAGATCACAACCAGAGCCGAAGGCAGAGGCTTAACCTACTGAGCCACCCAGGTACCCCCTTTTCTTTCTTTCTTTCTTTCTTTCTTTCTTTTTTTTTTAAAGTGGGCTCCTTGCCCTGTGTGGAGCCCAGTGTGAGGCTTGAACTCACAACCCTGAGATCGAGACCTGCCTGAGTTGAGACTGAGTGGGACACTGAACCGACTCAGCCATCCAGGCACCCCTACGAAACTTTTTATTTTGACATTTTTAAAAAAAGATTTTATTTATTAATTTGACAGACAGAGACCACAAGTAGGCAGAGAGGCAGGCAGAGAGAGAGGAGGAAGCAGGCTCCCCGCTGAGCAGAGAGCCCGATGAGGGGCCTTGATCCCAGGACCCTGAGACCATGACCTGAGCCAAAGGCAGACACTTAACCCACTGAGCCACCCAGGCACCCACTATTTTGACATTTTGCAAGCATACTCAAAAGCAGAGAGATTGTGGACCAAATTCCACACACCTATCACCCAGCAACCATTAGCAACATTCTGTCATTCTTCCCGTGGACCTCTTACTGTTTTCCTGCTTTACTTTGCTTTCCTTTCCTGTTCTTTTTCTTTCTTCTTGCTGGAGTATTTTATTTTTGTTTTTATCATTTTTTAAAAGGATTTTATTTATTTATTTGAGAGAGCACAAGTAGGCAGAGCAGCAGGCAGAGGGAGAGGGAGAACCAGACTCCTGGTTGAGCAGGGGGGTCTGATGCGGGGCTCAACCCTAGGACTCTGGGGTCATGACCTGAGCCAAAGGCAGTCACTTAACTGAGTTAGGTGTAGGTATCCTTGAGTCAAGGATATGGGTGAGGCCGAGTGATCCAGCAGAGAACAGCCTATGCAAAAGCCCTGGGGTGGGACTGCTCCAAGCAGAGGAGGAACAGCAAGAGGCCAGCGCAACTGAAGCAGGGCAAGGGGGAGTGGGGGTAAGGTGAGAGCATAATGAGGACGAAAGGGCCTAGATCCTATCTGGCTTTATCCACCACACAGTGCTTTGGCACTTGAACCTAAAGCCCACGGAGTGAGCAGCCATTACTGGGAACCGGAGCCCTACGGCGGCTGCGCTGGGAACAGGCGGGGGTGAGGTCGGAGGCAGTGGCCCCAGAGTGGTCCAGGCAGGAGGTCATTTGAATCCGACCAGGCCGGTGGCTGTGGATTTGTAGGGGAGTGTTCCGATTCCCGATCCATTTTGAAGGTAGAATTGTTGGGATTTCCTTGTAGACTAGACGTGGGGGAGTGGACTCGAGAAAGAATGGAGTGGAGGTTTTGGTTTATTGGTCTCCCACCCCTACTGCTAGCAACTGGCCATAGCACTGAGTTGCCATCCGTTGCCACAGGGATGCCCTTTGGGTGGGGGTGAGGGTGGGGGTGGGGTGCTTAGCCTGTCCCCTTGGGATTCTTGGGTCTGGGGTGAGGGGAGAGGCCTGGAGTCATCAGTTGGGAGCTCACCAGCCTGAAGCTAGGGTAGATCGGAAAAGACGTTGTAGACAGAGAAGGGAGGAGCCCCAGGAGTGAGCCGGCCGGGGGGAAGGTGGTCACCAGTGTGAGGAAGCTCAGACACTGTTTTTTTTTTGTTGTTGTTGTTTGTTTGTTTGTTTGTTTTTAAGATTTTATTTATTGGTTTTACAGAGAGATCACAAATAGGCAGAGAGGCAGGCAGAGAGAAGGGGGGAAGCAGGCTCCCCACCCAGCAGAAAGCCTGATGTGGGGCTCGATCCCAGGACCTGGAGATCATGGCCTGAGCCAAAGGCAGAGGCTTTAATCCACTGAGACACCCAGGTGCTCCTCAGGCACTGTTTTTGAGGTCTCACCAGAGTTCCAGGTGAAATGTTTCTGGGCATTTGGGTGCCCTTGTTCAACCCACGAACCCTCACTCCTAGCCCTCACTTGTGTTCACCTCTATACGGTAAGACATATACCACAGCCCACAAAGAGGGTATATATCTAATTATATATTATATACGTAATTATATATATAATATTTCAGTGCCCATTATTTATTTTTTATTTTTCTTAAAAGATTTTATTTATTGGGGCACCTGGGTCGTCAGTCATTAAGCGTCTGCCTTCAGCTCAGGTCATGATCCCAGAGTCCTGGGATCGAACCCCATATTGGGTTCCCTGGTCGGCTAGAAGCCTGCTTCTCCCTCTCCCACTCCCCCTGCTTGTGTTCCTTCTCTCGCTGTGTCTCTTTCTGTCAAGTAAATAAAATCTTTATTTAAAAAAGACATACGAGGGGCACCTGGGTGGCTCAGTGGGTTAAGCCTCTGCCTTCGGCTTAGGTCATGATCTCAGGGTCCTGGAATTGAGCCCCGCATCGGGCTCTCTGCTCAGCAGGGAGCCTGCTTCCCCCTCTCTCTCTGCCTCCTTGTGATCTCTCTCTGTCAAATAAATAAATAAAATCTTTAAAAAAATTTTAAAAATAAAGAAGACATGCGAATTAAAAAAATTTTTTTTAAAGATTTCATTTATTTATTTGATACATCTCGGTTTTTTCCTGTGAAAAATGAAGCTAATCATGGCATCTCATTCACTGGGTGGTTTCTGAGAATTGTGTGAGGGTAAAATACCCATAAAGCCCTTAGAACATGCCTGGCACAGTTTACTATCTGCACATTCTTATGGCTTATCGTGAACTTTGCCCCATTCTGTTTCCAGCAATCTACCCCACTCAGGTCAAGGTCACAGAAATATACATTGGCAGATGAAACTTGGCCGAAGTAGAAAGGAAAAGGTGAGCTTTAAGCTGAATCCTGAGTGGGAGGAAGGGAAGTGGAGAACTAGGCCATAGAGTATTTCACTTACCCAAAAAAGACTGTGCAAGGGTCCTGGGGACTGTAACCACCCAGGTGTGTTTTAAGAATAAGAGAGGCTTATCTCCCATTCCACACCTCTAGCTTAGCAATTAGAAGCGTTTTATTAAATTGTTTTATCCATTGCCTCCTGCCACCTCCTACGGAGACATCCTATAATTTCATCAGTAGGAACTTCACAAATACTACCAATGGATTTAAATGTTTACTTATAATTACTGACATAGTTTAAGACTCATAAAATCTTGTTGGAATAGTACGGAGAACGCCTGTATACCCAGACTCCTTGTTGCTAATATTTTACTCTGTTTGCTTTATTTTTCTGCCTCTTGGTTTGACGGTAAATTGCAGGCGTCCATTCATGTCTCCTAAGGTGTCCTAAGGTCCCCAAATCTGGGGAATATTTCCTAAAAACGATAACATTCTCTCACGCAGTCACAGTAAGATTAACACTGACACCGTGGTCTTGGGTAATCCAGAGTCCTTCTTATTCAGATTATTAGAATTCTTTTTTTAAAAAAGATTTTATTCATTTATTTGGGAGAGAGAGGGAGCAGGGAGAGAGGGAGCCCGATGCAGGACTCGATCCCAGGACCCCGAGATCATGACCTGAGCCCAAGGCAGATGCGCAACTGACTGAGCCACCCAGGCGCCCGAGATTTTATTTTATTTTTTTTAATTTTATTTATTTATTTGACAGATAGAGATCACAAGAAGGCAGAGAGGCAGGCAGAGAGAGAGGAGGAAGCAGGCTCCCCACCAAGCAGAGAGCCTGACACGGGGCTCAATCCCAGGACCCTGGGACCATGACCTGAGCTGAAGGCAGAGGCTTTAACCCACTGAGCCACCCAGGCGCCCCACTGAGATTTTATTTTTAAGTAATTTCAGGATGGGCTTCTCAGTGGAAGTGAACAATGAGCAGCATTGACTAGAGAGTGGGGTAAGGTGGGGGGGTTGGCTCTCCAGGCTGGGAGAAGGGGGGAGGAGAGCCAGACGTACAATAGTCCAAAGGGGTCCTTGATGTGGCTACACCTGAGGTACAAGTGTTCCTGGCAGAGGGAACAGCTGATGCGAAGGCCTGGCCTCCAGAGAGCTGGGCACTGTGGAGAGGCTGAATCGTGCAAGCCAAGGGGCTGGTGAGGAAGACTTTGGGGGAGCAGATCATATGGGGACCCAAGGGCCATGCTGAAGTGTCTTGTCTCTCTCTCAAGTGCAATAGGGAGCCATGGAAGGTATTTGAGCAAGGAAGCGATGTGATGCCATCAATACTAACAGATTGTGGGGCGCCTGGGTGGCTCAGTTGGTTGAGCTTCTGACTCTTGGTTTGGGCTCCGGTCATGATCTCACAGTCATGAGGTCGAAGCCGCTGTTGGGCTCTGCACTCGGTGTGGAGTTCACTTGGGATTCTCTCTGCCCCTCCCCCCACACACGTATGCATCCCCTCTCTCTTTAGCTCTCTTTCTTTCAAAATAAATAAATAAAATCTTTTAAAAAATGCTAACAGATCATTAATGTTAAGGGATCACTCAAGGGGCGCCTGGCTGTCTCAGTCAGTAGGGCACCCGATTCTTGATCCCAGGGTTGTGAGTTCGAGCCCCATGTCAGGGTAGAGATTACTTAAAAAAAAAAAAAAAATCACTCTGGCTCTTGTCTGCAGAACAAATCAGAAGACAGAGTGTGGGAGTGGGAAAACCAGTATTAGGAGACTGGCATTTGTGCAAGTAAAGTCTTGCAAAAGTGTAAGTAAAAAAAAAATAGCCTCATATGGTCTGGCCCTGGTTCCTCCTCTGATCTCTCTTCCCACCACTGTGACCTTGTTGTGCCAAGCGCACCAGCTCTGTCTTGCCTCAGGGCTTTGCGCATGCTGTTCCTTCTGCCTGGCCCAGGCCCAGGCTTCTTCAAGACCTCCCACAGTTCCTATCTGGGTTTGTAGCTGCACCCAGCCCAACACTCCCATTCCCCTCATCTTGCTCTACTTTCCCTGACCACACTCTGGCACATTCCATTACACTCTTTTATTTGTTTATTGCTGCTTCCTCCCCAGATCTTGGGCTCTGTGAGGACAGAAGTTTTGGTCTTGCTTCCTCTGGTATCCCTGTTGATGTACCGCAGTACCTGGCACATACGAGGTGCTCCGTTAATGTTTGTCGAATGAATGAGGGGGAGACAATTGTAGAAATTCTGGAGGTCCTTAGATCCTTAGAAGGCACAATGGCCAGGGCTTGATGAGGGATCAGATGAGAACTTAGGGAGAGGGAGGCTCTAGAAGGCTCTCACCTCTCTGGCTTGAGAAGCTAGATGCGAGTGGACCCCAGGTCTGAGGCTGGAAATCAGGAAGAAAGGCAGATTCTAGGAGGAGACAACGGAGTGAGTTTTGCCCTGGAGACTTCAGAGATGGAGGGACCCAAAGGTGGCAGGGGAGCTCCAGAAGGTGGTTCTAAGGGAGACTTAGCATACGCTGATGGGAAACCAGCAAAGCAGGGGCTCTCCTGGCAGATCTCGGAGAGAAGCAGACCCAGGAACCCCAACATTTAGGAGAAATGGAGTCAGGCCAGAGCAAGGCTGCAGGCTCCCTGGGACAGTCAGGCATCCGAAGGGAGGGAGGGAGAGAAGGGAAGGGCGGGCCAGTAAGATTCCAGCGCATCCTTGATGTGGCTACTCCGAGGTGCTAGGTGACCTTGGAGGTGGGGGTTGGGCTATGGGCCAAAGAACATGAGTGGGAGGGTTGAGAAAAGGACAGCAGGGAGTGTGGGACAAATATTTATTCAGTGCTAGCTGTGTGCCCAGTGCTAGGAGAAGGGTGGCGAATGACCCACATCACACAGCCTGTGCAGTCCTTAGGGACCTCATGGTTGCAGGATGGGGGTGGGGAGGGAGTTATAAGGCTGGGCAAGGAGAAGGTTTAGGAAAGAAAAGGCAGGGGTGCCTGGGTGGCCCAGTCATTAAGCATCTGCCTTCGGCTTAGGTCATGATCCCAGCATCCTGGGATCAAGCCCCGCATCAGGCTCCTTGCTTCTCCCTCTCCCACTCCCCCTGCTTCTGTTCCCTTTCTCAATGTGTCTCTCTGTCAAAAAGTAAATAAAATCTTAAAAAAAAAAAAAAAAAGGAAAGAAAAGGCAGGGGCAATACCTGGGGGTGGGGAGGGGAGGGGCAAGGCCCAGGCTGAGGGAGGAGGGTTCCAAGGCCAATAAGGGGGGGGAGAGAAAGGAATGGAGGGGGGGGGGGGGGATGGGAGGGAGTCAGGTCCCCCGGGAGAGGTTGGAGGAGTCAATCCCCCCAGTGCCCACATAATGATGGCACTCATGCTCATATTATCTTAAAGTTCTTTTTTTTTTTAAAGATTTTATTTATTTATTTGACAGACACCGATCACAAGCAGGCGGAGAGACAGGCAGAGAGAGAGGAGGAAGCAGGCTCCCCGCTGAGCAGAGAGCCTGATGTGGGGCTCGATCCCAGGACCCTGGGATCATGACCCGAGCTGAAAGCAGAGGCTTTAACCCACTGAGCCACCCAGGAGCCCCTATCTTAAAGTTCTTAAGACTTAGATTGTTAGAAATTCTTTTTGTGGGGCGCCTGGGTGGCTCAGTGGGCTAAGCCTCTGCCTTCGGCTCAGGTCATGATCCTGCGGTCCTGGGATCGAGCCCCACATCCGGCTCTCTGCTCCATGGGGAGCCTGCTTCACCCTCTCTCTCTGCCTGGCTCTCTGCCTATTTGTGGTTTCTGTCTGTCAAATAAGTAAATAAAATCTTAAAAAAAAAAAAAAAGAAATTCTTTTTGTGGTTGTGGGTTTTGGTCTCTGCTCACTGCGGGGTGGAAATACCGGCTCTGACAGTTGTCGCATGACCCTCAGAGCCTCGGTCACCTGTTCAGTCTCCTCACCTGGAAAAAGGAGCTATGGACTATCCTTTCTAGGATTGTCCTGAGGATTAAATGAGCTAATCTATGTGAAGAGCTGACAACAGGGCCAGGCACATAATAGATAAATTCAGGGGCACCTGGGTGGCTCAGTCAGTTAAACGTGTCTGCTCAGGTCAGGATCTCAGGGTGCTGGGATGGAGCCCCGCATCGGACTCTCCGCTCAGCGGGGAGTCTGCTTCTCCCTCTGTGCTCTCTCTCTCTCTCTTAAATAAATAAATCTTTAAATTAATAAATAGGATGTCAGGGTTGGCCTCATTGAGAAGGTGACATCTGAACAAGATTTGGAATTGTTGAGGAACTCGGTTTACCCAGGACTGTCCCAGGAATATCCCATGTCCCCAGGAGCCCTTCAGTGCTGGGCAGACTGGAGTGGCTGGTCACTCAAGGAGAGTCCCATGTGTATCAGAGCAAAAGTACTCCAGACAGAGGGAACCACAAGTGCAAAGGCCCTGAGGTTGGGACACGCAGGGTATGTTTGAAGACACGGTCCTCAGAAAAGGTGAAGGCTGTTTTTGAAGGGAGCAGAGAAAGTTTAAAATTGCTGGTGGGGGACCCAGAGAGGGAGGGGATTTCGATTCCCACTCTGGGAACCCCCAGGGGAGCCTGCTTGCATTCATTAATGTTTAGTGGCAGGAACAGGTCTTGACCAGCCAGCTCAGCTGTCAAAAGAAAGTGAGGGGAAGGATAAGATTTTAATTTATTCAAGGTCATGTGTAGTGAAAGAGCTGAGAGACAGAGGAAGGGAGGAGAGGGAGAAAGAATTAGTTTAGGGACCTCTGGGGAGCCAGAGAGTTGCAGGGGAGAAGCTGGTAAAAATGGGTGCATTTCCTGAAGGTCTCCCACATCATGTTCTGACCACAGAGTTCTCCCTAAAGTTCAGAGAGACTATCTTCCCCTTATGGATAAAAGAGCTTCCTCCCATTTTTGCAAAATATGCAGCCATCTTGCATTTTCCTGTCTTGATCAGGACACGAGTTCGAGTAACATACAAAGACCTAGAGGGGGAAGACAGAGACCTAGAGAAAGGGGGGCAGGCTGGGGTGGGGTGGGGAGGGAGGTGGGGGAGAGGGTCAGGGACACAAAGGGGAGGGAGGGAGATAGGAGAGGAGACATGGAAAAAAATGCCTTCCAGACACGGAGGGACTCCTTAACCAGACCTGGAGACCCTGGGGCAAACCGGTGAAGGCCCTCTCTGGAGTTCTAGAATGCTGTCCCCACAAGGCACTGCGATCCGCTAGTGAGCATACCAGGGCAATGGCCATTGACCCAGGCATCAGGATGTGTTTTGGTGTGGCTGGTGGAACCAAGGGGCCGCGTGGCTGACGTTGCCTTCTGTCTCCCCAGCTTGCCCTCCCCCACCTGCGGAAGAGCCGGGGGAACGTTATCAACATCTCTAGTCTGGTGGGGGCCATTGGCCAGGTCCAGGCGGTTCCTTATGTGGCCACGAAGGTACCCTGCCCCTTCCTTCCCTCCCTGCCGGGCCCTCCAGTTACCTCAGCCCCGAGGCACGACCACCCTGTTCTCATGCCCCAACTTGACACCCGCTGGCTGGAGGAGAGAACAGGAGGAAACTTCTCTTCCCTGGATTGAACTTTCCCTCCAAATCATCTTCCACAGGGGGCAGTAACAGCCATGACCAAAGCCTTGGCCCTGGATGAGAGTCAATATGGCGTCCGGGTCAACTGGTGAGCAGCTCTAGCTGGGCAGAGAAGGCTGGAAGTGAGCCCGAGAGGCCACGCTGGTGGCACCCATCCCTGACACCCTCTTCTCCTTTCCCTCAGCATTTCTCCAGGAAACATCTGGACCCCACTGTGGGAGGAACTGGCAGCCTTCACGCCTGACCCTGCCGCCACAATCCGAGAGGGCACCCTGGCCCAGGTAGGGGTGGGGGCCCGGTCCAGGTGCTGTGAGAGTGGCTTAGGGCAAGGCAGCCAGGCCAGGTGCTTCACGTGTTCTCCTTTGCCTCCGGTCTCTCCCCAGCCCCTGGGCCGCATGGGCCAGCCAGCCGACGTGGCGGCCGCTGCTGTGTTCCTGGCCTCGGAAGCCAGTTTCTGCACCGGGATTGAGCTGTTTGTGACTGGGGGTGCAGAGCTGGGGTATGGGCGCAAGGCCATTCCGGGCACCCCCGTGGAGCCCCCCACCATCCCTTCCTGATTTCCCAAATTTCCACCCGGGCCTTCCTGCTTAGGACTCCCACCCCAAACTCAGTATCCCAGATTTCAGCTTCTACCATCTACAGACCCCAACTCTAGACATTAACTCCACTTACCAATGTGCCAAACCACCCCGCGAGTTCCCATAAAACCAGTTTGTAGCCAGGAGGAGGAGGGCATCACGACAATTTTTTCTACCTTCGAGTTCTGCCACTCAAGGACGGCGTCCGCGCTCCCCATCCCAGGTGTTTCCACGCGTAGCCTCGACCCGAGGGACTACAACTCCCGGCAGGCCTTGCAGCAGGCTCCTGGGGAGGTACTGCCGGTCGGCTTTACCCTAGCTAATACAAAGGCCCGCAGGGGAGAATAAATTAAACCCTATTAGGAGATAATAGTGGAGGTGAAACAAAAGGGCCTCCTCGTTATTCTAGGTCCTTAAGGGAATGGCGTTATGAGCTCGCTGGCTGTGGAATAGGAGGATGGCGGGCTCCAGAAGTTCTGCGGGAAGCAGCAGCAAGGGTTGAGAGTCCTTGGTCAGAGGGAGGAGGGGCTGGGATCCTGGACTCCTGGGTTTGTGGGAGGAGGAAACATGGGGCGTGGACCCCCCAGTTAGGGAAGAGCGTACCCTGGATTCCCTCAGGGGCGCGGGGCCCAGTTTGGGTTGAATCTCCCCAGTGGGGGGTGGGGGGGTGGGGCCGCATGACTGCTGCGGATTGGCCGCTTCGGAGGGTGTGCGGCAACCGCTGATTGGCTGAGGCGGGGTTGGGTGCGGTCGTGGCTGCCACGCCCCTCGGGCTCCAGGCCGGGTGGTGGGAGAGGGAGACTGGGGCATAGGAAACCAAACTGGGTGAGACTTTGTGTGGGAAGGCTGGCAATTTGCCAAGGCCTGTGGTGTTAGGACTGGGTGACAGTGAGCCGGGGACAGAATTCGGGGCAGAATATCCCAGAGTAGAATTATGCAGGCACAGTGGCCCAGGAATCGGAGTTTGAAGACCCAACAGGAACAAGATTTTGGTTCTTGTAATCCGGATGCAGGAGTTGGGGGAATCCTGACCTCAGGAGGTTTTGGGGCCACAGTGACCGAGGAGTTCGGTATGCAGGTTTGAATTGCTAGGGATTAGAAGGATCCTGATGAGCTGTAATTAGCTAACTCTGCCCCTGGGGGTTCTGTCATTGGGGAGACATTCACAAGGGGGCATAACCAGCTAAACCTACCCTAGGAGCTCTAGGGGCTGTCCTTAGAGGCTCACTCATGCGTTGGTGGATTAAAATTTTTCGGGTCTCACTGATGGGACTGGAACCATGTGTGTTGTATCTTTTCTAAAAATGATATTTATTTATTAATGGGGGGGGGAAGAGGGGAGGGAGAGGGAGAGAGACAAGCGGACTCTGCGCTGAGCAAAGAGCCAGCGACGGGCTCTATCTCTTGATCCCCATAGCATGACCTGAGCTGAAATCAATAGCCGGAGCCTTAACCGATTGAGCCACCCAGGCATCCCTATTTATTTCAGGTATTTATTCATTCTAGAGAGAATGAATATGTGAGCGTGGAAGAGGGGCAGAGGGGGAGGGAGAGGGAAAGGCAGAGAATCACAAGCTGACTCTGCGCTGTGTGGGACTCCATCTCAGGACCTTGAGATCATGACCTGAGTGGAAACTAAGAGTCTGACGCCTAACGGACTGAGGCACCCAGCTGCCCCATGTGTTGGATCTCTTAAAAAGTTATAAAGAATACACATACATTTTCTCCTTGGAAGGAAAAACTATATTCCAACTGGGGGGGGGGTTGACTGCGACCCCTTCATCCATCCCTACCTGCCACCCTTTTCAGAGGCCTTTTTCCAGGGTCCTTTTCCTTTTCATTTGCATGCTATATGCGCCCGCCACGACACTTACAGCAAAGCACTCTCTGCCTTATCACCAAGGGATGGAGACACGCAGACTTTCCAGTTCTTGGTCTTTTAGCTCTTGCCTCAGGCTGCTTATCCTCGTTAGGGTTCCGTGACAGTACCTATTAAAATGCACTTAAACAAACAAACAAAACTTCATGCACTGTCTTGCACAGCGATAGTGTGACGGGAACAGAATCTGGGTGGGAGTTGAGAGGAGGGTGCATGTCCACCTACTCCCCTAGCCCCGCAGATTCCAGCGCACGCGCCCTCTGGCAGGGCCCAGCTCCCCACCCGAGCCCTATAATTGGGGCGGCCCGACCCTCCTGCCGCGTAGGGCAAGCAGCCCTCCAGCGGGAGGGGGCGTGAGCGGGGCGGGGCCGGAACGTCTTAATCCCGGGCCGCGCCGCGGGCGAGCACAGTTACCCGGCGCACCCACCATGGCCGCAGCCGCACTGGGACAGGTGGGTTCGCGGCCCCGGACCCGGCAAACGGGAGAGGGGGTGGGGAGGCGGGGGAGGCCCACTTCCGGGTGGACCACTAGCTCCAGGCCCCGTCCGGCTTCGCGCCCCCGGCGCTCGGGTTCCGCTGCCGAGCGCCGAGAAGGAGGGGGTCTTTTGGAGAGGAGTACGAGGCTTTACGGGAGGTGGAGGGAGGTAGTTGATCGGACGGGGCCACCAGCGGGAGATGCGAGGGAAACACGGAAGTGGGTACAGTAATGGGACAGGCCCCGGGCTGGGGCGGGTGGGGGCTAGGGGGGGGGGGTAACCGCCAGCCTGTGGGGGCGCCGGGATAAGACGCCCCGAACTTCTGGGGGTGCGCGTAGGATGAAGGCGCGGATCTCGGGTCTGGACTGGGAGTTGGAGCCACGGCCCCGTTCTCTTGAACTAGAAGTTAAGATGTATGCGGACTGTCCCTGCAAGCTCGCCTCCAGAGCTGCGCATCAGCCTTCCAGCTTCCCGCTGTCCCAGAGACGGGTCCTCCCGGTCCCTTCTGACCCCGAAGAGGTCGACCCGCAGAGTTTGGAGAGTGGGGTTTTACAGCACAGTTTCTCCGCGAGAAAGGAGACGCTGACAGCTCGCAGAAGGGATCTTTACAGCCGTGCCCGGCGGCACCATCACACTAGGAAAAGGGGTGTTCGCCTCCTGTTCTGCCCCTGCCCCGCCCCGGGACTCCTGCCCCAGCTAGATCGAGAGCAGGGCCCATTGTTGCTGTTCTGAGTTTTGGGGGTGACTGACGCTGGGCTATCCCTGGACAATCTGGGCTCTGATGGTGCCACTCCTGGGCTGCGTTGGGAGAGTCCGGGGCAGTTTGGTGGAGTCTTGAGCTGCTGTGAGGCGGTCTTGGTCTGCGATGGGAGCGTCCTGGGCTATTATGGGACAGATCTACTTGTGATGGGATCGGTCCTGGGCCATGATGAGGACAGTTTGGGGCTGTAATAGGGACATTCCCTGGCTGAGACAAAGGATAGCACTGCATTATTACCAGGGAGACTCTTCCTGGGCTGTGATGGGGGCACAGTCCTGAAGCATGAAGGGCAGTGCTGAGCTATGCAAAGACAGTGCTGGGCTCTGATGGTCACATCCCTGCTGAGAGGACACCCCTGGATTGTGCTGGGGACAGTCCTAGGCTGTAATGAGACCCCAGGAGGCTCCATCACGTTGCAGAGCCCTACTTTGTGCCTGTCCCCCTCCCTCTCCCCTTCCTTGTTTTTAAATTCAGCCCAATTTTTTTTTTTTTTTTAATTCAGCCCAATCTTTTCACACTCTTTGTCCCAGTAGCCCGTCTACCATCCCCTGGACCCAATTCCCATGGCTTGGGGTGTCAGATGGTAGAGCCCTTTCCCTGAGCTGAGGTGAGACACCACCCCCCCCCCCCCCTACAGAAATGTCCTGGAAGGATAAAGTCAGCTTCTTCCAGGACAAGAGGGTCTTGATGGCCAGAGGGACCTCCCAAGTGTGTGGTGGCCATTGCTGATTGTCAACCTGGGCACTGCCCGGCTCCTTCTCTCTGCCCTGTGGGTGTGTTTTTCTGCCTCTCCCTTCTCTATCTCTTGGATATACTCTGTTTCTAGGCATCCCTGAGTCAGTTTCTTTCCAGGTGTTGGCATCACTCTGTCTCTTTGTTTTTCCTCCTTTCTCTGGGTCTCCTTTCTCTTTGTGCTCTCTCCTGAAGGCTGGTCTTTGTCTATTTACTTTCTCCTCCCTCCCTGAGGCCTCCCTCAGCCTCTCTGTATCTCACCCTTGGCATTTGTCTAGATTTCTCCAGACTTGACTTAACCTGAGTTTGTCTCCCAATCTGTCTCTTGTAGCAGTCTCTCTTTATGATCATATCTGTTTTGGCATCTTGTGTTCTTTTTTTTTTTTTTAAGATTTTATTCATTTATTTGACAGAGAGAGAGATCACAAGTAGGCAGAGAGGCAGGCAGAGAGAGAAGGGGAAGCAGGCTCCCTGCTGAGCAGAGAGCCTGATGCGGGGCTCGATCCCAGGCTCCTGAGATCATGACCTGAGCTGAAGGCAGAGGCTCAACCCACTGAGCCACCCAGGCGCCCCGGCATCTTGTGTTCTTGATTTCTGTTCTCAGTTTTGTTTCCCCTTTTTAAATTTTATTTCATTTTATATTTAAGTAATCGCTCCACCCAACCCGGGGCTCGAACTCAGGACCCTGAGATCAAGAGTCACCTGCTCTTCCAACTGAGTCAGCTACGCACCCGCCTCGGCTGTGTTTTCTATTTCTTTCTTTTTTTTTTTAAGATTTTATTTATTTATTTGACAGAGAGATCACAAGCAGGCAGAGAGGCAGGCAGAGAGAGAGGAGGAAGCAGGCTCCCCGCTGAGCAGAGAGCCCGATGGGGGGCTCGATCCAAGGACCCTGAGACCATGACCTGAGCCGAAGGCAGCGGCTTAACCCACTGAGCCACCCAGGCGCCCCTGTGTTTTCTATTTCTATGTCTATTTGTTTTCTCATTCTTGCTTTTCCCTCCCTTTTATTTATTTTATTTTTTTCCATTCTGGCTTCTTCTGAGCGTTACTCTCCTGCCCAGATACTGGCTGTCTCTGCCCTGGGTGTCTATCCTTTGTGCTCTGGGTCTCACCGCCAGAGTTGCGTGTGCTACACGGCGCCACCTAGAGGCCATGCCGCGGACCCACACTCTCATCCGCCCAGAAGCCCTTGGGCCCTGCATGATTGGGAACCACACCTCAGACTTCACGCTCCACAGACCGCATTGGCCCATGACTCACCTACTGACCGGTGACGGCTGCCATTCATGTTGGTTCTCACTGACTGGTGTCTGCTCACCCAGCTCACAGGGCAGGAAATGGCTGGGCTGTTCTGTCTGCACCAGCTTCAGGACCCAGCTGCTTTCCTGCCGGGCTGGGAAAGAGGTGTTGTGAGGTCAAAGAATACTGGGGAGAGGCCACCCTCATGGACAGACAGACTGGCTCTCCCTTGTTTGTCTCAGGCAGGCCACAGATGTTTGTCTGAGCAGGGTCTTTGTTGATGACTAGGATCACACCCCAGGTCCATGGGGCTGCCTCTCAGCCCTGGGATCTGAAGGGAATTGGAGGCACTGGTGTCCAAGGTATGGGGCTGGGAGCTTAGGTAATCTGAGCCCAGTTGGTCTAATATCCTGAAAGAATAAGGACTTGGACTCCTGGATCTGAGACAGAAGGGGCTGGGGGCCTGGACTCCTGGGTCTGAGAGAGGAGGGACTGGGGACTGATCTCCTGGGTCTGAGGGAAGAAGGGCTGGGGGCCTGGACTCCTGGGTCTGAGGGAGGAGGAGGCTAGAGGTCTGGACTCCTAGGTCTGAGGGAGGAGGAGGCCAGAGGTCTGGACAGCAGGGTCTGAGGGACGAGGGGTCTGGTGGCCTGGCCTCCTGGGTCTGAGAAAGGTGGGACCAGGGACTGATCTCCTGAGTCTGAGGGAAGAAGGGCTGGGGGCCTGGGTTCCTGGGTCTGAGGGAGGAGGAGGTCAGAGGTCTGGACTCCTAGGTCTGAGGGAGGAGGGGAACAGGGGCCCAGCTTCTGGGTTCTGGGGAAATATGGCCTCTACATTCCTCACTTTTCAAATTCTTATCAGAATTTGTGTCCCCCAGGGATGCCTTCACTTACCTGTGCACCGTGCCTCACTGTCTTCTGTCTGAGCTGATCTCAGGGCTGGGGCCAAAGTTCCCAGGGGTGGGAGGTGCCTGTGTTTGACTTTGCCCTGGCTGGGAGGCGACAGGAGCTGATTCAGCCCTTGCTAGGAATTGTCCTTGTGAGGACAGGGGCACCTCCCACAAGGTGCTGATCTGACAGGGGAGTGGACTTGTCCAGGAACACATGGTCCATGTAGAATGCACTGGGCCTTGGACAGACCAGGGCAGAGGGGCCTCCCAAGTGCATGGTGGCAAAGGAGGCCCATGGTCCCCTGCTTTTTCTACCTTTCCTGGCCTCTCTGCTTTTCTTACTTCTGTCCCCATCCCCAGATTTGGGCCCGAAAACTCCTCCCTGCCTCTTGGCTTCTGTGTGGCCCCAGAAGATATGCCTCATCCAACTTCAAGGTGAATGGAGGGGAATGTACTTTTGGATCTCAAGGTGGGACTGGGGCCAGGACTGCTGGGCCTGAGGGGGGAAGGGGGTGGGGGGTCAGGACTCTTAGGTTTGAGGAAGGGGAGGGCAGCTGGATTTGGGCATCTCCAAAAGGGTCCAGGGTCCAAAGGTGAAGGTGTTTGGCAATGGGGTCCTACTAGTCTGCTGTAAGGCTGTGAGAGAGATGTGATAGGGTATGTCCCAGAAGCCTCTGGGGCTACAGGTCTTTTTCGTCTTTGGATCTTAGCCCCAGAGGTTCATGGTAGTTGTAGTTTTTCACTTTGAAGTTGCGACCGGATTTCAGGATACTTGGGTCCCCGTCTTTTCTCAGGCTGCAGACCTGCAGCTGGAAATGACACGGGAGCCTCACCAGAAGCCTGACGCCAGCAAGCCCCTGGTGTTTGGGAAGATATTCACTGACCACATGCTGGTGGTAGAATGGAAGGAGGAGAAGGGCTGGGGCCAGCCCCGTATCCAGCCCTTCCAGAACCTCATGCTGCACCCCGCCTGCTCCGGCCTCCACTACTCGATGCAGGCATGGCCCCAACCTCCCTCCCCGTCTCTCTGCATCTCTTCCCCCTTGCCGTGTCTCTCGCTGAGTCCATTTTTCCCTGGGCATGCACACACTTTGTGTGTTTCTTCTTGCTCAAGATGTGTTCCCTGAGGTCTCTTGTGTTCCAGGCCCCCTGCAGTGTGATGCCGGGGTCCCCAAGAAGAGCAGACCCAGTTCTTCCCCTCGAAAACCCCATGTTCGGGTTACAGCCCCAGGCAGTTGTGCCCTCAGGGAGGCCCCTGAGGCATCGTGGGAGCCAAAACAGGCACCGATCCCACCTCTAACTTGAAAGGAAGTAGGGTCTCTTTCAGCAAAGAAAGTGTAGGGTGTCAGCGGGAGAGGGAGCCACCAGTACAAAGACACAGTACAAAGGAGAGCCCGGCGTTTTGGGGGAATTGGGGGATTGAACGCAATAGGGGAGGCTGAGGATGCCATCAGGGGCCTCAGAGGGGCTGAGGGCTGGCACCTTGTCAGGAGGGCAGCCTCTTTGAGGGCGCTGGGAGCCATGGAGGACCCTGAGGAGGCATGGAACAGGTTGGCTCTGGCTGTAGTGACACCCCTTAGGCTGATTGGAGGATGGGCTGGAGGGGAGAGCTGGAGGCCAGGAAGCCCGAGCTGGGGCCAGAGCCGGGGGAGGGACGGAAGGAAGGGTCTGGAAGGCTGGAAAAGAGCAGGAATGGAGGGCTGAGCATGGCGCCCAGAGGTGTGGCCAAGGTGACCAGTTAGGTCATGGGGCTGTCCCCCTATGGGGACTCCTCTGGAGATCGGCTTTGCCGGACTTGCTGAGGGGCCTTTGAGGGAAGATATCTAGAAGGCATTCAGGTGATGACTCAAAGCTGTGGCTGGAAGCAGAGTCTTCCTGAGGCAGCTTCTGTGCTGACAAGAATTTGGATGAACATGTTTCAGCCCTAGTAACCGGTGTCAGCTCAGGAGGCTGAGATAAGAGGGGCCAGATCCTGTGAGGCCCCCAAGGCCAAGGTCAACAACAGGCTGGGGGTGCAGATCAACTTTGTGGGATTTTTTATTGTTGTTGTTGTTACTTTTACAAATATTTTGGGGCACCTGGCTGGCTCAGGCATTGGAGAATGTGACTCTTGATCTCAGGAGTCATCAGTTGGAACCCCACAAAGGCTGTAGAGATGACTTAAAAAAATTTTTTTTAAAGTTTTTATTATGGGAAATTTCAAACAAAAATAGAATGATATATAAGCCCCCCACCACCACCCTGCTTCATCAGCGAGCGCCTGTGGGTCCCCATCTGGACTCCCATCTTCGTGCCCCCCCCTTTCTCTAAGATTTTGAAGCAAACCCTGGACTTTTCAGTATTTCACCCATAGCAAGTCCAGTGCTTCTCAAGAATGCAAGGAATCTTTAATTTTTTTATTTTAAAGATTTTTATTTATTTGTCAGCAAGAAAGAGAGAGAGCACAAGCAGGGGGAGCCGCAGGCAGAGAGAGAAACAGGCTCCCCATTGAGCAAGGAGCCAGAGGTAGGGCTTGTTCCCAGGACCCTGGGAACATGACCTGAGTCAAAGGCAGATGCCTAACCGGCTGAGCCACCCAGATGCCCCAGGATTCTTTAAAAACAGAACTTGCCTCTGCCTTCGGCTCAGGCCACGATCCCAGAGTCCTGGGATCAAGCCCCGCAGGCATGGGCTTTCTGCTCAGCAGGGAGCCTGCTTCCCCCTCTCTCTCTGCCTGCCTCTCTGCCTACTTGTGATTTCTGTCTGTCAAATAAATAAATAAAATCTTTAAAATTAATTAATTAAAGTATTTCAAAGGAAAAAAACAAAAACAAAAAACAGAACTTTCATGCCATCACTGTTCCGGAGAAATCGGACCAGTAACACGGAAGGGATTTAAGCAGGGTGATCCCTTGGCACCTCTGGGGGTGTGTCTCCTGTCTTCTTGTCTCTCTCTGTCCCTCTGTCTGTCTCTGCCTCCTCCTCCTCTTCCTCTCTGAGCTCAGCGGGTTGATCTCTCCTCTGGTCTGTCTCTGCATCTGTGTCTGAGTCCTTGTGTATCAGGCGCTGTTTCGGGATCTCTCCATGTGGCTCGGGGGTTCCCTGAGGTGGGGTTTGAGCTCCATCCCCCACCCGCCCGTCCCCGCAGCTCTTCGAGGGCATGAAGGCGTTCAAAGGCAGCGACAAGCGCGTGCGCCTCTTCCGCCCCTGGCTCAACATGGATCGGATGCTGCGCTCTGCCCTGCGCCTCTGCCTGCCGGTGAGGGGCCCTGGCTGGCCCCAGGGGAGCAGGTTGGTGGGGGGGGTAAGGGTGGAGGAGAGTGCTGACTCGTGGGGATCTTGCCCAGAGTTTTGATAAGGTCGAGTTGCTCGAGTGTATCCGCAGTCTGGTGGAAGTGGACAAGGACTGGGTCCCTGAGGGCAAGGATACCAGCCTCTACATCCGGCCTGTGCTCATCGGAAATGAGGTGGGCTGGACTCCCTGACTGGGGGGTTTGGGGTGGGGCCTGGACTCCTGGGTCCCTGATGCCACCTTCCGCCCACCGCAGCCCTCGCTAGGTGTCAGCTGCTCCTCACAAGCGCTCCTGTTTGTCATTCTCTGCCCCGTGGGCGCGTACTTCCCCGGAGACGCCATGGATTCTGTCTCCCTCCTGGCCGACCCAACCTTCATCCGGGCCTGGACGGGTGGGGTGGGTGACTACAAGCTGGGGGGGTAAGTAGTCCCTGCAGCAGTCCCTCCCCCAACCCTTCGTATCCCCCTACGTGTCCAGGATGCTGGACATCCGAGACACTGGCTGTCGTGCTTCGGGTGTGGATCTGTGTCTTTGGATGTCAGTTGCCCTTTCTGTCTCGTTTCACATGGCTGGGGACAGCTCTGCTTGCCCTTGGGAATGGGATGCTGTTGGCACTGTGGCGGGAGTGCCAGGGGAGGCTGTGCTAAGCGCTGTGGACACGTTGGCTCAGAATTTGGCCAGGGGAGGGTAAAAGTCAGTGGAGAAACCCTGATTGGCCGCCCGGGAAGCCTTCAGGAATGAAGTTTATTTTTAGCTCATCGGTGTCTTGAGCACCAAGGCTCGGCCAGCGCCCCGCCCTCCCCACCCCCACACGCAGCTCTCCTAGTCCCCTGGGCCTCCAGTGACCTCCATGCTCTGTGGGGGCTTCCTGTGGAAAGCCAAGGACCTTGATTCAGCAGGGCAGGGAGGGTACGCCCCCAGGTGATCCAGGCAGGAGGTGGGGTGACGGTGTGTTGGGGATACCGAGTGTGGCCCCAGCTGGGAGCTTCATACGGGTCCTTTCCACACCTCCCTTGTGAGGCTCCCAGGGCCAGACCCTGTGCCCAGCGAAGCTGGGGACGCAGATGAATCAGGTGCGGGCCCTGCCTTCCAGGGGCTCCCAGGCTAGAGGGCGCCCCAGTACCCAGAGCCGCCGGCGCTGTGATGGAAATGGCTGGGACACTGCTCACTGTGTTGGGGAGTGAGCCCTCAAGTGAGTCTGAGGGAGGAGCCGTTTCCTGGTCAACCATGCTGCTCTCTGCCAGGAATTACGGGCCCACCGTGTTGGTGCAGCAGGAGGCGAAAAAGAGGGGCTGTGAACAGGTGCTCTGGCTCTATGGGCCTGACCACCAGCTCACCGAGGTGGGCACCATGAACATCTTCATCTACTGGACCCACGAGGATGGGGGTGAGCCCTTCCGTGACATCCCCCCCACCGGAAGTGGGTCTATCGTAACTCCTAGCCTGCTGTGGGGAATGGGGGGGGGGGGGGGGGGGGGGGTTTGGGTGGCCTCAAAGAAGATGGGCGGGTGTGCCTGAGGGCATGAGGTAACCCTCCAGCCCTTGAACTTGCCCCAGTGCTGGAACTGGTGACCCCCCCACTGGACGGCGTCATCCTGCCCGGAGTCGTCAGACAGAGTCTGCTGGACCTGGCTAGGACTTGGGTGAGGGCGCTGTGTCCGTGGGTGGCTGGAATGATGGGCTACTGCGGGGGGTGGGGGGAGGGGCGGGCGCAGAACTTCAGGAGGATCCAGAGGGGGCTGTGACACCCCATCAGCACGTCTCTGCTCCCGCTTCTCTCTGGGTGTCTGTCCCCTCGGGTGTCTTTGTCCCCGTGCCCTGGGAGGACGAGGCAGGGCTCTGCGGCGGGGGCCGGTCCTGGGCTCACGGGTATCGCCCGGCAGGGTGAGTTCCGGGTGGCAGAGCGGAAGATCACCATGAAGGACTTGTCGCGGGCGCTGGAGGAGGGGCGGGTCCGGGAAGTCTTTGGCTCTGGCACCGCTTGCCAGGTCTGCCCTGTGCACCAAATCCTGTACCAAGGCAAGGTGAGGTGGGGCTGCCCTCGGAAACGGGAGGGAAGAAGAGGGGTTTCCCGGTCCTCACGGCACGGTCTTCTCCAGCACTTGCATATTCCCACCATGGAAAACGGGCCTGAGCTTATCCTCCGCTTCCTGAAGGAGCTGAAGGCGATCCAGGTGAGATGCACCGGCTAGGGCGTGGGCTGGATGTTTGCTCCCCGGGAAGTTGCCGTCCCAGGAGCCTTTGGACTGGGAGCCCTGCTGCCCCGCAGTCCCAAGAGCCAATAAAGGCCCCTGCCGTGGGCCTCTGGGCCCCAGACCGAGTCACTCTTCCTTTCCTGGGAGCCTCTAAATGGTGACTCGAGGAATCCCCCTTCCTCCGCCTCTGTGGCTCATGCGTGTCCTTGCGGTGGGGACCCCTTCCCAGCGACCCGTGGGAGTTCGGGCCGGAAGCCCCGCGGGGAGCCCGTGGAACCCTGGGCTTTCCCTTTGGCCTGAGAAATTTCCTTCCGCAAGTCCCTGGACCCTCGTGCCCCTCTGTGGCCCAGGAGTATTACCTCTCATCAGCCTCTGGAGGTGTTTCCATACAACTCGGCCGAGGTATATCTTTTGTGAGAACCTGTGGGCTCCTTTCCTGGCACTCGACCTAGAACTGCCTTTCCTGTGAGGTTCTCTAATGTCCTGCGCATCGGGACCTAGAACAACACCTCTCCTCACTCTCCGGGACATCTCAGCCGAAAACGACTCCTTTTCCACCGAAAGCCTTTCAGGCCTTCCAGTAACTTTTTGCAGAACTCCATCTCCCTTACGCCTCTGCGCCCCCTCGGCCATGGTTCCCCTTCCCTACGGCTGTAGGCCGGCCTGCGGGAAGTGGACTACATTTCCCATGAGGTCCCGGGGCGCACATCCGCAACCGTTCAGCCTGGGACGCCGCCGGGCTTGCTGGGAGTTGCAGTGTAACTGCTCTGACACCTCGCTTCTGTTGTCCCGCAGTACGGAGCAGGAGCCCACGACTGGATGCTGCCAGTGTGACGCTAGAGACTCAGCCCTACCTCTCCCCGGATCCACCCCCCACCCCCGCGGCATCTAGTCCTCCACGGGCCCTCCCCTCCCTACCAATGACTCACCTGAAGTGCAATATGAAATAAAAGGCCGGGGGCTGCCGGGACGCCTGGGTCTCTGGCGCCCCCACATGGTCGACACTCCCAAAGCCATAAGGGTCGGACCCGGGCGTCTAGGCCCCTAGCCCCGCCTCTCAGATCTTGGGGGATTTGGGCTTCCCGCTGCTCCGTGTTGTGGGGTCAAGGATACACTTTGACCCGACCCAACTCGACTTCGCATCTCTCCGTTTTCAGGCCGGATCTCCCGGTGCTGCTGTTGATTTTTTTTTTTTCCTTTTGCTGCAATTTTGAAATAAATGCCAAAGAACAAGACATTAACTGTTTTCTCAATGTTGCAACTCAGACGCTCTAGTGTTTTCACCGGCAATCCTTGTTCTGGGCCTTCTTTTTTTCAAAGACCAGGCAATCCGGGCCCCCAGTGACCTGGCGGGTTCTCTGATGTGGGAGATTTTCGCACCTCCTCACACCCTGAGTCTAGCCTCTTGCCCCCACCAACCCACGCCTCCTCTACTTTCCCATCTTTGGGAAAGTCCCGCTGGACATCCAGTCACTAGGCCAAATCCCTCCCTCCCGGCTGTCCCCCTTTCTCCCCAAAGTCCATCACACTCAAGTCCTGTCCTCGGGGCACCTGGATGGCTCAGTCGTTAAGCTTCTCTGCCTTTGGCTCAGGTCATGATCCTGGGGTCCTGGGATCGATCCAGCGCCAGCTCCTGCTTGGTGGGAAGCCTGCTTCGCCCTCTCCCACTTCCCCTGCTTGTGTTCCCACTCTCTGTATCTCTGTCTTTCAAATAAATAAAACCTAAAAACAAAAACAAACAAACAAAAAAACCAGTCCTCCTGTCCCCAGCTCTGCCCTGTCTCCTCCTCTGTGTCCTCTCAGCCCTGCTTCAACCCAGTTCTTGTCTTCTCCTGCCCGGACCCTTGCCCTACCTAGCCGGCTCTCTGCAGCCAGTCAGGCCCCCAAAGGGTCCTTGTCCACCCAAAGCTGCCTCTGCTCACTCTTTTCCCAGGATGTCCCAGCACCCACGGCCAATACTGCAGATAGTGGGCCCTGGTGGGTGAGGAGTGGGGCAGGATGCTTTACCCGTGGCTGAGGGTGAACATCAGAAAGCTGTAAAACCTAGTCCCCGCTCCCTCCCTGTGGCATGCCTTGTGTCCCAACCTTGGCTCTTTCACACATACACTTTTTATTTCTTTTTAAAAGATTTTATTTATTTATTTGACAGAGATCACAAGTAGGCAGAGAGAGAGAGAGAGAGGAGGAAGCAGGCTCCCCGCGGAGCAGAGAGCCCCATGTAGGGCTCAATCCCAGAACCCTGGGACCATGACCTGAGCCAAAGGCAGAGGCTCTAACCAACGGAGCCACCCAGGCGCCCCCCACGCACATACTTTAATAATGGTCATGTGTAGCTTTAGAAAGAGCCAGAACTTAGGACCGGGCTAATGTAGGAAAATGTTGGGGTTCAGAGCCGATGACCAAAGAAGAATTCTGAAAATGTCTTTGGTGCAAAAAGCTGATTTTATTTCAGCACGGGGATAGGATCTGTGGGCAGAAAGCTGTACTGGGGTCATGAGGAGTGGCCTGTTATATACTTCCAAGTTGGGAGGGGGTTGGGGATAATGTAAGTCTCTAAGAAATTTTGGAAGCAAGGTTTCCAAGACCCTGAGGGGGCTAACTATTGTTAAGAGAAGGTCATTTATTACTGTCTAATAAAACCTCAGTCATGAGACCCTGGATGTATATCAGTGGGCCCTATGCCTGGGGGATGACAGTCAACATACATCTTGGGGGAGGGGCAGGTAGAGATAAGGGAAGTTTCCAAAGAAATTTTTGTATGTTAAAATAGATTGACAGGATCCTGGGGGGTCAGGATGAATAATGTTAACGTAAGATGGCCTTTTGCCCTTAGCAAAGTATTAACATGGAGGCAGCTGAGTTCCTAGAGGAATGTCACTCTTCCTGTTTCGAGGACTTGTCAATGGGCTATAAGTGGTAAGGAAATTGAATGTTTCTTTTGCCTTTGCATCCCACATCACGGGCATATCCATTCGATTGCAGGTGTAGAGATAAATGTGCCTCCTTTATCTGCTTGGTGTGTGACCTTGGGCTGGTCGCTATCTCTGACCCCCCTCTGACTCCCTTTGTGACCCACATGGGACTAGGACAGGCACAGTCTGTCCAACAGTTAGTTATCAGCTCTGGGACAAAATTCCAATTAGTGGATCACCATTGTCATCCCCTCTCATCTCCTTTTGTCAGTGATTTTTCAAGAGAAGGTCATGCACGCTATGGGGATATTTGTGTGGTTGCCTCTGGGAAAGCTTTCTTCCCTCCATAAAAGAAATTCTGAAAGAAGACAACGTTTTCTTTTCTTCCCTCCCTTTGGCTGCGATTATCTGGAATTGTGATGCTTGGAGTGGCCGCAGCCATTTCACACCCAAAAGTGACACTGGCCACACACTGAATGCCAAACACAGAGATGTCAGGTTCTCCAACCATTATGCCTGATTTCTAGGGATGCCTGGGTGGCTCAGTTGGTTAAGGGTCTGCCTTCGGCTCAGGTCAAGATCCCAGGCTCCTTGATCAGCGGGGAACCTGCTTCTCCCTCTGCCCTCTGCTCCCCCTGTTCGTGCTCTCACCCACTCTCTCTCTGACAAATAAATAAATAAACCTTTTAAAAAAACCCACCTGATTTCTAGATTGTTTTGCTTTAAAAAAAAAAAAAGAAGTAAAAATTAAACAAAACTGGTTTAAGGGTGCCTGGGTGGCTCAGTGGGTTGAAGCCTCTGCCTTCGGTTCAGGTCATGATCCCATGGTCCTGGGATCGATACCCGCTTCGGGCTCTCTGCTCCGTGGGGAGCCTGCTTCCCTTCCTCTTTCTCTGCCTGCCTCTCTGCCTACCTGTGATCTCTCTCTGTCAAATAAATTAAAAAAAAAAAAACTGGTTTAAGCCACTTTTGTCAGGTTGTGGTTTGCTTTTGGGTTTTTTCATATTTTGTAGGGTTTTTGTTTTGTTTTGCTTTGTGACCTGCAGTCAAAGATTCTTTGCTTCTTTGCTACCTGTCCCAATGGCCAGAGCTAATTATACCCAAGGAAAATCTCTGACTCTGGTAGCCAGTTGAATTCCTGGGCAGTAACTGGGCCCCGAAAGGGTAGGCCAGATTTTATTTTCATTTTTTAAAAATATTTTATTTATTTATTTGACAGACAGAGATCACAAGTAGGCAGAGAGGCAGGCAGAGAGAGAGAGAGGAGGAAGCAGGCTCCCCACCGAGCAGAGAGCCCGATGCGGGGCTCGATCCCAGGACCCTGGGATCATGACCTGAGCCGAAGGCAGAGGCCCCAACCCACTGAGCCACCCAGGTGCCCCCGTAGGCTAGATTTTTATCATAGATTTGCATCTGAAGGGAAAGGACAGCATAAATAGCCATTATTATGAGGTTAACAAAACCAGAAGCCCTCCAATAGAGACGGAGTCCCTGCGAAGTAAACATAACTTATCATTAGTTAAGGATTGTTATTTTTTTTTAAAGATTTTATTTATTTATTTGACAGAGAGAAATCACAAGTAGGCAGAGAGGCAGGCAGAGAGAGAGGAGGAAGCAGGCTCCCTGCTGAGCAGAAAGCCCGATGTGGGGCTCGAACCCAGGACCTGGGATCGTGACCTGAGCCGAAGGCAGCGGTTTAACCCACTGAGCCACCCAGGCGCCCCAAGGATTGTTATTTTTAAAATGAATTAATGAATACCTATTTGGCTAATCGTTGCGATTTCTAATTCTGTAAATATGGGTAGATGTGACCCACATTAAGGCCCCTTGGTTGAGGCGGGGGTGGGGGGGTGGTCCTCATGGCTTTTGAGGAAGGTCAAGAGGTCTCAGGACCAAAAAGTCCATGAGCGATGCTTGGTACTTAGCACAAGCTCATGCGAGACTTGGTTAAATGTTAAAATAAGCAACAGATCTGCTCCTGTTGCGGCTTCTTTCTTACAGGACTTTTGGGGGGACGGGGACCTGGGGAGGCCTTGGAAGCTCTTCGCCCTTCCCTAGGCCTGGTCCTCTGCGTCTCATCGTCTGCGCGTTCCCGGGTTATATCCCGTTACAACCAACTGGTGATCTAGATCCAATCTGAGATCCCACATTTCCGTTCTCCACCTGGCTGCTTACCCTCTTCCTAGGTGGGGAAGGTCCTACGTCTTTTCTTTCTTCCTTTCTTTTTAAAAAAGATTTATTTATTTTGGAGAGAGAGCACGTGAGAGCGGTGGGGGAGCAGAGAAGGAGAGAGAGAATTTCTGAGCAGACGTCTCCTTGAGGCTGGCACCCGACACGGGGATCGATCCCACAACCCTGAGATCGGGACCGAGCGGAGATCAGGAGTCCGGTGCTTCACACACTGAGGCCCCACCCACCCACCCACGCACCCCTTTTGCATCTTTTCTGATCTTTCATGGCCTGAAGAGTCGTACAGAATAACGGTAAAGAGAAGGAGGCAAGAACATAGGTCCCGGCTCTGTTAAATCAGCAGCTCAACCATCCAGGGACGTTGGTCAGTTTCTTGGCAATGCCCTTGCCTTTCTGGGGGCAATTCAACACCGAGATTCCCAAGACGTACCTCCCACACCTCAGTGACCGGAATGGGTCCCACCCTCAAAGCCGAAAAGGAGGCTGGCAGCGTCCCAGTGGCCACAAGGCTCGGCCCAGGCGTCACTGCCGGGAGGAAGCTGGGGTCTGGCGGCCTTGATGTCTCTCGCACACTGCCCTATGGCTACCGGGTCATGCTAGGGCTGGTAGCTGGAGAGAGCTGTCCCTAGACTGTTAAAAACCAAACACGAAACTGTTTGAAAACAGACATGAGGTCCATCAGGAAGTTAACTAGTGCAAAGGCCAGCCCCACGTCACCAGAGACTGATACCCAGTCTAGGTAAGGGTTCAGCCCCTTTCAGGAATGGCATCTTAAACCATTTGCAAATCCCCTCATCAGCCCTCCTGAGGCCCCCTGCTGTCCCCTAAAGGAAGGGGCCCTTGCCACAACCAATCCACTTTGTTGTTGTTGTTGTTGTTGTTAAGATTTTATGCATTTATTTGAAAGAGAGGGGGAGACAGAGCATGATCAGTGGGGAGGAGGCAGCGGGTAGAGGGGGAAGCAGGCTCCCCGCTGAGCAGGGAGCCGGAAGTAGGGCTCAATCCCAGGACTCTGGGTTCACCACTGGAGCCCAAGACAGACGTTTAACCGACTGAGCCACCCAGGCAACCCAAATTTTTTATTTTTTAAAAGATTGTATCTGGGGTGCCTGGGTGGCTCAGTCGG